CGACCCATACTCTAATAGTAACCCAGGCTATTATTGGAAGTTTAATGGTTCATTCATTTTCTTTTTGTCTTTCGTGGGGGTCGCCCACATTTATTTCTCCTGTTTTCATTATTTTTCAGTTTACTCTCATGTTTATACTCTACACCATATATTATAAGAAATTCACAAAATCAACTCATGGTACATAAATTTTCATTAAATTATAAATTTACATTTAATATTACAATAAATTGTTTGGAAAAAAAGTGTATAAATGAATATATTAATTTAAGCTTATAAATACTGTTTAGTAACTAAAGCAAATAAGTAAAATATATTGAAGTTTGGCAGGGATGAAATGGGGGAGGGAGTGTAGGTTTTTGTGTACTGGTGAGGGTAAGGATGTCAACACCACAACTTATATTCTGTAGCAGCATGTGCTTTCCCAAAGTCAGTACAGTATTATAAATTGACGTGGCATTGGGTGGGGGGAGGGGAGAATTGGTGCATGGATAAGGGGAGCAGAGAAAAAATCTGTACCTCAGAGCAAAATGTCAATTTTTCTTTTTCTGGCTGTCAAAGTACTGGGCTTTTAGAATACTTGGTCAACGCATAAATGATATAGTAGGGAAATGAGTGGGGTTTAGGATGGGGGCGGAGTGGTAGAGCATTAAGAAGGAATAAGTATAACTTGAGGTCTGACAACACCACTACCAATGTATACATATCAGATTTTGTTCCTGTACTGTCATAATAGTTTACTTTAAAGTTTGGTCAATGCATTTAGATAGGAATGTGAGGGGGTAATTTGTATGGGGTATTACATCATCTTCACAGCCCGATATTGGGTACGATTGGTTTTTTGTGATGTACACCGATAGTACATTGTTGGGAAAATGTTGGTCCATGTGCTACGGAGTGAATTTTCTGTACACTGTCACATTATGAAGTTTTGCCAATGCATTAAGATACTGAGACTGTGGGTAGGTGGGGGTGCTTTGTAAGCAGGGTGGGAGTAGGGTTACGCATACTGGTAGGAATAAGAGCGTCAACTCCACAACTTATATTTAGAGTTTTCACTAACGCTTATGCTGCTCTCGCTTAGTAGTCTGTTCTATTCTTGAATAGCAAGAGGCATAGAATGTGCCATCAGTTGTTTTTAATGATTTAGGCGGAAGTTTAATTCACTTTGGCATGTGCTTTGCTTGTTTTTAAATTTCTGTGTGGTTGGCAAAAACCAAAATGAGCATGCATAGTCAAAATAACATTGATTAAAGGAGAACATAGTATTTTTCTAGAATTTTCAATGAGTAAAGATGTTTGTACAAGAAATTTTGTCTTCCAAAAATTTTCTTAATGGCTGGTTAACAATGTTTTCACATTGATGTTGCTTCTATTATTTTTTGTACAATCATCTAGGGGGCGTGTATTCGAGGAAAAATAAACACCCCCAAGGCGTTAATTTAAGGGATACGTTTATTTCAAATGTGGCTGTGGAAGGAGCCCTTATTCAAATAAATATTTGTATTTTAACTTTATAAAATGCAGTCTTTGACTATAGGCAAACACTTTACCCTTTAGTAGCCACTAGCATACACTACATTTTACTCTACAGTTTGCCACTGCTTTAGAAGGGAGAGGAGGTTACGGGGTCCTCCCCTGGAAACATTTTGTTTCCTAATTGATTGGATATGCATTTTCCTGAATTCTCAGGGGTATGATATAAACTTTATATTTCTTCAAATTTCTGATAGTTTCATTGTGACTGGAGCCAGGAGTTGGGATGCAGTGTGAAGGCCTTGAAACAAAGCAGACTTGATGTTGTAGTAGTGGGATTTAGGGGGGGTCCGGGCCCTCCACAGGATGAAGATTTTGTTTTCCATATGCTCAGATATGCACATTCCTGCATTCTCAGGGGTCTGAAGGACTATGTATCTTTCAATTTCAGAAATTATTCTGTGAGATTATGGAAAATGTATTAAATGGGAAACCTTAGAGAATCTACTGCTTTCTCACAGGACCCAGAAAAATGATGATGATAATGATGATGAGGCTTTTACTTAAATTGATGATGATGATGATTATGAGATTTCTGCTTATGGTGATGACATGCGTGGTGGATCCATTTGACAGTGATACGAGTAATGCGCTTGAGTACAGGGAGCGTATGCCTAGACAAAAATAATCAAGCACACTCGATGTTGTGTTAAATATCATTAAGGAGGATCTTCCAGCAATTTTTTTCCCCCGATGTTGGGAATGGACTTTCCTGCATTGTAAGTGTGCATGTTAATTACTTTGCAAATAGACCTGTGAAGCACTGTCAAAGCTTTGTTGTTTAGAGTACCGTAAGACATCCTGAAAAATAGCATTAAACCTAACAGGGTCCATAATCAACCCCACCGATAAAGTCTAGGTGTTACAAGCCTGAAAAAATATAACGATTCTGTTCTTCTAAAAACAAGAGGGAATAACGGTCGGTAGTGGTTTAAAAGCCATGTCATCACCTATTTACTTCTACAAGTTCCTTTACTATTGTTGTCAGATTGACAGTTTGGGGTTTGAATTTTTTTGTAAAAAATAAGGGGGCTGGCGTGTCCCCCTCTTAATCTGCCTCTCATGGCCGAAACTTTAATTCTAGTAATACAGTATATCACTATTTTTTTTTAAATACCAGTTTCATAGGACTTGTTCCTTAATTCATTGATAAACATCCATTTGCGTATTTGCGACAAATAAACCACCCACCATAATAAGACTTATTTCAGCCCTTGATAATTCTGCTCTTTTTAGCTTTATTTTTATAATTTATGCCTTTTTTATAGTTAGTTTTGCTGTTGTCAGATGTTTTTTTATATGTGAATATTTTTAGATGATTTTATCTGTGAATTTTGCATATTAAATGTATAGATATATGTAAATAACATGCATTTTCACATCATTGGTCACAATTTGTTATTTGTTTGAATCAATTTGAAATAAAGTTATAATTTTATATTACATTATTATTATAAAACCGAATTGAATTTCAATTATCTATATATATGATTTTGTGTGTATGGATACAAAACAAGTAGTATATGTTACTTAAAATCAGATTCAATTTCCTAATAAGGAAATCCCAGTAGCCCTGGGTAAGTCATCTGCTTAGAAAGCAGAAAATTCTGGGTACGAATCCCAATTTGGGCAACATTTCCGCACTCAGATTCCTAATAATAATAATGAAATAATAATAATGAAAATGCTTATAAATACAGTCTATTTATGTAGAACAATTTTAGTATAATGAATTCAAAATTTTAAAATTAAAATAGAAATACTCTCAATACAGTATATATATGAACCATTTTCTCTTTGATTTCTCTCATATAGAGCATAATTCCCTAAGTTCCAGGCATTGTTTTCAGCTTTTGCTGTATTTGGATAGATTTATCTTAACTTATCACACACATATGTGCTTGTATGATGAATGAATTTTGCTCTCTATTGATTCGTCGTCGTTATAGTTTGAGATCCATTTCTATAGTTTCGTGATGGGATCCCATTTTTTCTTCTACAATTTTTCTGTATTAAAACATTCGATATTCGATCTCTCTAGCAAAATTTGTAGTTAGTGCTCTTTCAAAGGCAACTACAGACTGTCGGAACTTGGAAAAGAAAGTAATTGGAATGTCCTTCACCTGTGGGCATCCTTTGATGAATTGCTGCAAATGATTTAAACCTGTTAACTGGAATACTTCAGGCAGAATGCGCATGTCATTTTGGTTCAGGATATCTTGTTTGATTAAACAGTTGAGTTGCCAGATCTGCATCAACACGTGTCTGTGCATCATCAAAACTTTGAGACTCCGGCTCATCCACTGTACACTCTATTGAGGAATCACAGATAGGGTAAGTTACATTAATTGCTGAATTAAAAAGAATTATAATACAGGCAGTAACTATTGCTACACCAGTCTTAAGAACCTAAACTAGGACAGTAGCATCCGAAACCTATACAAAACCCACATATTGTACTCGGATCCCTTGTAAATGGAAGCCAACCAAAAGGAAGACCAGCCAAATGCAGGTATGACTGTAAGGAGGCCAGGACTTTTAACTGTACAGATAAAAGTCCCTGGTGAAGGTACTGTATACTGTCAAACGAGAGGGCTCATGTTTCTAACAGAAGCATGAAGAGTGTCAAAGCAGATGAATGTGGCTAGACTTGAATGAAGCCATCAGACAGCCAGTAGCTGGTGTGAACAGCTTAAGCCAAGTGATGTACTCAAATTGTTTGGTTAGTTTTAATGTAATCCCAATCTCATGTATTGTATAGGTCATAGTAATTATATTATGTTTCATTTCAATTCATTTCATTTATTTTGTCCAATATAAAACACATTACAAAAACAATTGATTTACATCAAAAATGTTTTTATTTTATTTAAAAATGATTGGAGACTAGTAAGAAACTCATCACAAGCATGTACTGTATATTGAAAGCATCTGCAGTAGTAATAAACATCTGCAGGGGCAGATCAAGCTAGTTAAGGGGAGGGGGAATGCATGTACTAAGCAGGCAAGAGTCTTGGGGCAGAGGCTTTAGTTTGTAAGGCTCTTTCTTGGAGCTCTTGCACTCTTGTTAATTTGATGTATTTGATCCTTTTTTGGTATTTAGCATGGTTATATTCCATAATATTTACATTTTTTAAACAAAAAATAGAGAGGGCCATACACCATTCTAAATCTGCCACTGTATCAGTAAGTGAACATTAAAATGAATACAGGTAAATACCAATCGAAGTTAATACCAATCACATAAAATTTAGTGCATTAAAAGATAATGTCGAGTAAAAACAAATGCCACAAATCAGAATGGAGCGACTGGCTATGTTGACATGCTCCTGTGCCAATTGCAAAAGGATATTATTTTGTGTATGTGGTCAATATTTATTTTAAAACAAAGGACAAATAATTTTCTAATGAGAAACAGACACTAATTACAAACCGATTGGCTTTGCAGGACTTCGTTTACTGTATTAGAACAGTCGGCAGAGTCTTCTCAGTCCTAGCTTATCTAAGGTATGTTTGAAATCATCTAGTAACTTATCATCGTCTGCCAGTATGAGATTATCTTCCAAGTCCATTATAAGTGACCACTTGTCACTGTATTGGCTAGGAAGCTCATAACGCTGTACAATCAACCTAATGTCACGGTCGATGAGTTGCATTCCAAAGGCCACCACAGACTGCCTGAACTTTGAGAAGTGAGTGATCTTGATATTATCAAGGCGTGGACAGTTGGGGATGTGGTTCCGCAAACTGAGTACACCGGTGAGCTTAATGGTCTCTAACAGGATGCTTATATCATCTGCCTTTAGTTTGGCAGTGTCCCTCAGAGCATCTAACAGCTCAGTTGCCTCTGCTGCCTTATGTACAGTATTTGCATTCATAATTTCATCTTTGAGGGCCACTTTCCATATGTTAAGATCTGCACCGATGCTCTGTGAGACTGTTAGAAGCACTCTTGGAAAGCAGGGGCAGATCCAGCCTATGATGGGGGCATGTAAGTTTAAGTAAGTGAGAATAATTGCGGCAGAGTCTCCGTTGGGATTGCAAGGATCTATCTTGAAGCGCTTGCACCTTTAATAGGGAGCTTTTGATGCTAGAATGGATTCACCTGGGTGACCGGGTGACCATCCTACGTACTGTGCACAACCTGTCTCTTATACACATCTAGATGTGTATAAATGTACACCACTATATACCGTGCACTCAAAAAGCAGACACTTGTTAAATGCAAGTAGGTGGTCGTGGTTCTATTAACAGAAAACCCTTTTTTTAAAGTATTGAAAATAGGCCAGAAATTAATGTAGGCCAGAAAATAATGTCGCACGTGTTGGAAAAAGCTTTGGCGGGCCATGGTTGGCCAGCAGGTTGAATACCAAGGACCTTGGCTATAATGAATAATTACTTTATATGTAAAATATTGAGGTGGTTTTGAAATGTTTGCATTGTTTCGTGTCTAATGAGTGCTATAAAAATGTTCATATTATTATTCAAATTATTATGTAAATTATTTTCAAGTTGTCTTCATGATATTAGTTAAAAAACAATTATACATGTAAAAACAAAATAGTATTTTTCAAATTTATATAATGAACCCTACCTGGAGCTGATAATTGCTCTGTTTCCTTGTGAATTGCACTTGCTGCTGCTGCTTTAAAAAAGAAAGGAACAATAAAATATACTTCAGATTATTTATATTAAATATATTACAGCAATATGACATCATTATAATTTTAGAAGAAATATACACAACACTATCCCCCGGGGATAAAATACACAAATGTTCATCACTAAACTAATCACCAAAAGAAGGCTACGCTACTATGGCCATGTAAAAAGAAAGAAAACTACATGAAAGAAACTACATGAAACCAACATAGTGTACTTGGATCCCTTGTAAATGGAAGCCGACCAAGAAAAAGACCAGTCTAATGCTGGGAAGACTTTGTGAAGTTAGACTGCCAAACCAGAGGGCTCATGTCTCATGACAAAAGTATGCAGTTAGCGTCAAGGCAGAAGAATGTGGCTACACGAGTCAGAAGCCATCAAACACTCAGTAGCTGGAGTGAACGGTGTACGGTAAGAATTGGCCCAGGAAAAAATGGCCCCGGAAAAAATGGCCCCAGTAAAAATGGCCCTGGTAAAAATGGCCCCAATAATAAAATTCTGTATTAAAACCGATTTTTAAAAATCATTATATGCATTTTTTTCAACTGAAATAATTTAGTTTTAAAAAGGAATCTAACATCAAATAAATTGCCATTTACATTTTACTTTTTGCAGGAATTACATATTTAATGATAAAATATTCAAAGATAAAAAGCCATGAATAACACTTTTTATTTTTTTTCCATTTAAATGTTAAAAAAACAGCAACAGCATAATCAATAAATCAACATAAATCACGCATTTATTAATACTAAAATAATTTATTTGTGGCCAATTTCACGGGAGCGGAATCACAATTTTCCAGAAATTCAATCCGGGTATTTGTAAACCCCAAAAAACAATGGGTTGATATGAACATCAAATTATTATTTTTTTTTTTTAAAGAAAAAGAGAGTTCTACAATTATAATTAAACGGTTTGGATGGGGTTTGCAATGTGTTTGGAAGTTTGTGGAGTATTTGCAAGTATTTTTTCACAAAAAAAAAATCAACATTTTATCCAAAAAATAGGTTCTTATGAATATTTAATTTTCTTATTAATATACCAAGTGAGTCAATCACAATTGAATTGTTTGGTATTCTACAGTGTGTTTTGGGAGGTTAGTGGGATTTATCAATACCATTAATATATTAATAATATTTAATAATAATAACAATTTAAAAAAAATACTTAGACCTAACAGCTACCCATACAAAAAGGATTTATTAATTTATCAATCAGCAGGGTACTCCTAGAGCTACTCATAGGAGCTAAAAACTAAGTTATTTTAGTTCTCAAATATACATATGGTTTATGTTGATTTATTAATTCAATTTTTGCTACAGGGTATTTTACAGCATTTATTTATTTTTTTTTTTGCCATTTTTTTTAATTTATTGATTCAATTCTTGCTTATTACAGTATTTAAATATTTGAATATTAAAAAAAAAATATCATTTCTATTACTGAATTTTTTCATTGGGGCCATTTTTACCTACTTGTCATTTGGGGCCATTTTTACCAGGGCCATTTTTTCCTGGGCCATTTTTACCTACAACCGTAGGTCATAGTAATTATATTATGCACTGTATGTTAAAAGCATCATATAATAAACATCTGCAGGGGCAAATCCAGCCTATGATGGGGGCATGTAAGTTTAAGTAAGTGAGAATAATTGCGGCAGAGTCTCCGTTGGGATTGCAAGGATCTATCTTGAAGCGCTTGCACCTTTAATAGGGAGCTTTTGATGCTAGAATGGATTCACCTGGGTGACCGGGTGACCATCCTACGTACTGTGCACAACGTCCTAGAATCCATGTGACCTCAAAAATTCAACGTTCTCGCATGTGCAGATGACTTTATGCGCAATCAGAAGCTCCTTGATATTTCCCTGGTCACTGGATTGGCAAACCAGCACATTTTTGTGCAACTTTCTCTGCTCCTTGGGGAGTATCCCAAGTCATGCTGCGCTTTACACGCACAAATTGCTTTCAATGCCACATCATCCTACCAGGTACCCATTTATACTCCTGGGTGGAGAGAGGCAAACGTAAGTAAAGTGCCTTGCACAATGACAAAGCAATGCGACGGGCTTCATTTTCGAACTCCCCATCTGTCCAACACCTTACACGCCGTGTCACACGATCCGTAATTTGAGGTAATTTATCAACTTTCGCCATTTAGCATGATAATACTCCTGTGAGATTTACATTTTTTTACAAAGAAATAGAAAAGGGCATGCACAATTTACGTCCCCACATGCCCCCCCCCCCCCCCCCCAAAAAAAAATTCACCACTGAATTTGTATCACCATCATAAGTGTATATTAAAATGAATACAGGTAAATACCAATAAAAAAAATGCCAATCACAGCAAATTAGTGATTGTAATTTCTTCATAAAAAACACTGGTTATCTTGACATGCTCCTGAGCCAATTTCAAGAATAAAATTACTTTTGTATGTACATTTAGTTAAAAATAAAAGGACAGATAATTTCCTAATGCGAAACAGATAATAACTACAAACCGATTGGGCGTGCAGGACTTTGGTCACTTCTGCAAAGGCTGCAATCCGGGCAAGTAGATTCATGATATTCTAGAATTAAATGAAACAACTGAATTAAATATAATTTTACGTAATATAAATAAATAAATACAAATGCTTAAATAGTCTTTAACATAATAGCATGTATAGAGAAAAATATGCATACAGTTCGTTTTCTTCATTTGGAAATACAAAAATAAATGTGCTGTAAATGTTCCTTGTAAAAAAATGTATGAATTAATGAAATATTGTGTAAAGGATCTGTAAATCAGTGAAATCATTAGATTTATCTGTGTTTCATCAATCAAATCTAAATTAATCCTCAGTAATAATGTTCATTAATAAAATACATATTTTCCAATTGGATGTAATGTTCAAGCTCCAGTTGTCACACATTGAAATTTGTTTGCATTTCTTAAGTGATTGATTCAATGATATACTTGAGTATTTAACAATAGAAAAGAAAAAAGAATAGTAAGTGGACAACAACTAGCCTATTATTTTAGTCAGTCTCTTTATTTTTAACTAAATTTAACAATAGAAAAGAAAAAAGAATAGTAAGTGGACAACAACTATTATTTCTACTGACACAGCAAGTCTGGTAATAGATTATACCTTTCAGGAAGCTCTCCTGGTATTTAGTCACATCCATCCGTTTGGATTTGGAACAAGGAACTTTTGGTTTTTGGCAATCTTCAAATGGATGCAGATGTGGTTTGTCACGTTTACATTGATCACATGCGATAGCAAATTGGTAGTTCAGACCTTTCGCCCATATTGTACAGATGTCACCAAAACAATCTTTTAGTAACTGGTACACCTGTAGGATTTTAAAAAGTATAAAATGATATATCTATATTATATTTATATATAAGCCATAAAATGCAATTGTGTTGACTGGCCAAGAATGACTGGACCGTCGCTCAAGCCTATCGATGTACTTGTTTCGAACTTTCCTAATCTCTTTTGATACTAGTGTTTATATCGATATTGGATTGAGTGATCATTTGTTGCTTTATACTTTTATTCTAGTCGCCGATGCTTTTTATATTGGGCCTTTAAAACGCATCTAAATTCATACACTTTGTAGCTGTTATGTAGAATCTCTATTGTATGATTAAAAAAACGCTAATTGGCCTGATTTTGCAAACATTCAGGACATTGCTGAGACCTAGACTTTCTGGAAATCCTTCTTTAAAAATGTTCTTAACAAGCATTACATATATAAAACATTCCGCTCGAAGTATCATAGGCTCCCTTGGATTGGCTCTGAATTATCACAAGAGGTTTTTCTGTGTACAGCCTTAAAATTGCAGCTTCTGCCTTTTCACAGTCCATTTCATTAATTTTTAATTATTGCACTGAACATGAGTTTTATCTTCAGAATGGAAAGCTGCTGCTGTTCTGCTCATTATTCAGAGGCCCCTGCTTTGATTTAGGTAATATTGCCCTATTTTAATTATGCCTGTCATTGCAAAAGTGCATGAACACGTTATTTATGAGTAAACTCTTGAGTTTACTCATCAAGCACTCAATCCTTCCTAGGTGTCAATTTGGATTCCGCCCTGGACGTCTTGTCCAGGATCTTTTGGTAAAATTTGTCGATAAAGCTAAAGTTGCTAATTGATAACAATAAAATAATGAGCCGATGGTTTGTGAAAAACTTTTCAGTTTCGTTAAATAATTACACATTAGAAAACAAATCATCTGCTAAGGTCCTGGGTGTTATTCTTGAAGACAAACTTAAATGCCAAGATCATGCGTATGAAGGCTTTGGCCTTAGGAGGTAACTATCCTACCCCAGGATGCATTCGGGTATGCAGGCTTCGGCCTTAGGATGTAACGTTCCTACCCCAGGATGCATTCGGGTATGCAGGCTTTGGCCTTAGTATGTAACTTCCTACCCCGGGACGTATAGTTTGGGGTATGTGGGCTGCGAGCAGCATTAGGATTTAACCTTTCTACCCCGGGACGCATAGTTTGGGGTATGTAGGTACTCGAACGAGTCTACCCCAGGTTGCACGGTTCGAATGAAATTGACAGTGTTGTCGAAGAAAGTTGACGATGTTGTTTTGCCTTTAGTTAAATGTTTCGGGAGTCACATTTTTTTCTACTGATTGTGGGGTTCCCCACTTTTGCCTTTGTTATTAATAAGTAAATTTTGCAAATGTATTTGTGTACTGTGCAGGTATGTGTTTTTCCACTTTTTCTTGTTAATAGTTTTGATATTGTTTTGTTATTCTGTGGATAAATTCTGAAATTAAGAATGGAATGAAAAAAAGAAGAAGAAAAAAATGAAATTATGTTGTTGCCAAATCTTAAAATGCTCTTGGGTGTGTTTTTCACCTGGGTTTTCTTTCATCTGACAAAACTTTTTTTACTTAATAGCTTAGTTCATTGTTATATGAATCCTGACCACAGGTCATCTGTCCGTGGGCCTCTCAGGGAACTTAACTGACTGAGCCTTTTCTCCTGTTGGCAATACATGCTACTTTTTTTGTTTTCAGATGCGTTGTTGGACTTGCTCCACTGACAGTGCATGACAAAATTTGCAAGAGGTCAAAAGGATCCTTGTGGGCTGGTAGAAGGGAGTGTAATATATATCAGTATAAACATGCTACATCAATGGGAGGGTCCATGGTTGGATGCTTTGGGGCCAAAATTCGGAACACTCTACCACTTAACATTAAATCAGAAAAATATTTACTTTTAAAAAACATGTTAAAGCCTTTGTATATTCCAAAGGTTGACTTTATGATTGATTTTTATTTTCTATTTTCTTGAAAGAATTGAAAAATTGTTGTCTATTTTACTGTAAATTTTTATACATTCAATAACTAATTAACTTTAAATGTTATTTTCCTATCTAAACTTATGCACAACATTTTTTATTACTTTTTTAGTTTGTGTGTAAAAGTTGGAAACAACTTGAAAACACAGGACAGACACTCGCCCAATCACCGTTTTGTGGTACATGACATTCATAGAACAAGGTAATCCAAGAAAGTCAATTCAAATTCAATATTACAAGCAAGTATGAACAATTTAGGAATTCCTTGAATCAATGGACACTAACAAACTAAAGAAGCAGAAAATTGAATAGTAATATTTAAGGTTTAATTTAAGGAATGAATTTAGATGTATTTAAGGCTTATTTTAAGACTCAAGGAATGAATTTATATGTAGTCCTCCTGTGCATTAGCATGAGGCTTTGTTCACCTACAGTATTTAACACATTTCGATCTCAATCAAGCCCAAGATTCTACTCCATCGTAAATATGGTTTTAATATCACTTGTAGAACTAGCACAGATATTAACACACAAAAAAATATGCATGATTACATCATGCATCAAATTTCATCAAATAAATTAGGTTTATTATTACTCTAGAACCTAACACACTTACTTTGATTGGTCATCAATTAAATTATAAAATATTAGGTAAACTTACCTTTCTACAAATCCTTTTACAAGGATCCTGTGCTTTTCCATCAACCCTCAGAATCATAACCTGAGGAGGAGCAAACAGTTAAATAGTTCAGATCAACACCTCAAAAGACAACATAATATAGTAAAAAGTTATTATTAAAGGATAACCGCTAAAAGTACACAACACATATTAATATGTTACAGTATATCAATTTTTAAATAATATGTTGTTTAAAAACAAGTACTCACCTCAACCGTAGACTTGTCAAGTGGACTTAACTGCAAGACCATGTCGTGAGCATGATCTACATAGAACTCTCCACGCTTGCGAAATAGTGGCAGATCACGACCTCCTTGATCCTGAGACCAGGCAATAATCCTAACGAGTGCCTTATGGAAGAGTCCGCTGGGAAGGAACCCTTGGAAGTCGATGTAGAAATGTATCATGGGAAATCTTTTTTTCACAAGCTTATGAGACTTACACTTGAAGTCTTTGAAGAGGCAGGGTACGAGGAATAGCCTTCCAGCTTCAGATGAATCAGATCCTACATCCTAATTATTCATATCAAAAATAAAAATACCAAACTTTACTTCAGGAATTACTATTAGGAAAATTATAAAATAAGTGAAAAAATGCTATTTTAAAATATCATAATAAATATAATACCTTCATAAATAATTATGAAGGTATAACATGTATTATGATATTTAAAACAGTCTCAAAATTAGGCTGATGAAGTGCGGATATTAAATTCTGATCAATTTAATAATTAACATTCATCAATTAAATTACATTAAGTACATTAAACGATTCATCATCTGTCCTCCACTATACGTCCTCCTCTATTCTCCATCCATCCACCATCATCATCCATACTTCATCCTCCAACATCCACTGTCAGTCCTCCATTACCTATTGATAATCCACCTATCCTCTATTATATATCAACCCTATTTATATATCAACCATAGAAATATTTTTCTACAATCTTCGCCTGTAAGTGGGACCTTCTTGGTCCTGTTGGACGATTGAATAAATAAATATAAAAAAAATAAAAAAAATATTTCATCATCTATTCTCATTCTCCATCATCTATTAATCATCCATCCTCCATTATTTGTCCTTCATACTTCACTCTCCATCAACCATTCTCAATCAACCATCAACCATTCTCAATCAACCATCAACTATAAACTATCCATCCTCCCCACTCCATCATCTGTTAATCACCCATCCATTCTCCATCATCTATCCTCAATACTTCATCCTGTATCATCCATTCTCAATCCCCCATGAACTATAAATCATCCATCCTCCCCCACCCCATCATCTATTAATCACCCATCCATTCTCCATCATCTATCCTCAATACTTCATCCTGTATCATCCATTCTCAATCCCCCATGAACTATAAATCATCCATCCTCCCCCACCCCATCATATATTAATCACCCATCCATTCTCCATCATCTATCCTCCATACTTCATCCTCCATTCTCAGTCTCCTATCATCTATTAATCATCCATCCTCCATTCTCAATTATTCATTCTTAATTGTTTATCCGCTATCATCCATCCATCCTCAATCTACACAGTATCACCTGTCATCTTCCAATCATCATAGTTTGATTAGGGCTAAGGTATCCAGGTCATTAGGACCATAGAGGAGTAATGTCCCTACCCTGTGATGCATAATTTAATTACAGTTAGGGTATCTGGTTCATTAGGACCTTAGTGGAGTAACATCCCTACACTGTGATGCATAGTTTGATTAGGGCTAAGGTATCCAGCTCATTAGGACCATAGAGGAGTAATATGTCCCTACCCTGTGATGCATAATTTAATTACAGTTAGGGTATCTGGTTCATTAGGACCTTAGTGGAGTAACATCCCTACACCGTGATGCATAGTTTGATTAGAGCTAAGGTATCCAGGTCATTAGGACCATAGAGGAGTAATGTCCCTACCCTGTGATGCATAATTTAATTACAGTTAGGGTATCTGGTTCATTAGGACCTTAGTGGAGTAACATCCCTACACCGTGATGCATAGTTTGATTAGAGCTAAGGTATCCAGGTCATTAGGACCATAGAGGAGTAATGTCCCTACCCTGTGATGCATAATTTAATTACAGTTAGGGTATCTGGTTCATTAGGACCTTAGTGGAGTAACATCCCTACACCGTGATGCATAGTTTGATTAGAGCTAAGGTATCCAGGTCATTAGGACCATAGAGGAGTAATGTCCCTACCCTGTGATGCATAATTTAATTACAGTTAGGGTATCTGGTTCATTAGGACCTTAGTGGAGTAACATCCCTACACCGTGATGCATAGTTTGATTAGAGATCCTCTATACTTCATCCTCCATTCTCAGTCTCCTATCATCTATTAATCATCCATCCTCCATTCTCAATCATTCATTCTTAATTGTTTATCCGCTATCATCCATCCATCCTCAATCTACACATTATCACCTGTCATCTTCCAATCATCATAGTTTGATTAGGGCTAATGTATCCAGGTCATTAATAGAGGAGTAATGTCCCTACCCTGTGATGCATAATTTAATTACAGTTAGGGTATCTAGTTCATTAGAACCTTAGTGGAGTAACATCCCTACACTGTGATGCATAGTTTGATTAGGGTTAGGGTATGCCGTTCATTAGGGCCTTAGTGGAGTAAAGTTCCTACCCTGCAATGCATACTGTATTAACTTAGGGTTGGGGTATGCAGGTCATTAGTACCTTAGTGGAGGAACACCCCCACCCTGTGATGCATTGTTTTTGTGTTTGTGCGAAAATTGGCCCTTGATAGCAAATAAAAGAAATTTAATTGAATTAGAATTGAATTGAAGATTCATGCATTTTCATTATACGCAATCAACCCATCATCAATCCAGCCATTATCTATCATTCATGCATTGCCATCCACTACCACCATCATCGTCATCAACAACAATATCAATAAACAATCAGTCTAGCAACTTGATAGAGCTTGTTTATTGGCGACTCATTTGCATTAAAATATGGTTATCATAATGAGTAAAACTAATAATAATAAAAAAAAAAAAGAAAATCCCTTCACGGTTTCTCTAGAATTTGATCAGTGACATTCCATCTAATGTCACATGTGAACAACCTTTAGCTACAGAATACCGATCGGCTTGAAGATGGCATGCAGTCTAGATTGGACATCAAATATTGCCACAAAAAATAGCAAGTCAAAAATAATTCAATTATTAAAGATACAATGACCAACCCACTTGCATGACTGACAACAATGGCAAACATGATGTATTTAACATATAAAAAAAAACACATTAAAACTCAAAACCAACTGGAATACAACAACCTAAGAGTGGAGTTATATATAAGCATATTAACATATCATTGATAAACTACAGTAGTAGTTAGGAGCTGTTTTAAATCCTGAGAAAAAAAAATCAGGATTTGAACCTAGGACTTTAGTATTTGAAAGCGAGGACATTGAATACAGCAGTTTTTTAAACAATAGTCATACCTTCTCCGAAACCTTCTCGCAAATAAGATAGAACTTGTTCATAATCTCAAACAAGAATTCCTTTGACACCCCAACATCCTTCCACAAATGATCTGCTAATCGTTCCTCCAAGATTCCTTCTTCTTTTAACCTCCTCCATGACTTCACATAGACTGCATGCTAACAATAAATAAAAAATGTAAAAACATGTATTTGATTTGCAGTGACTAGTAATGATTGCCGAATTAAACTAAATTTACCAAATTGCACACAGTCTACAATTGGAAGCACCAAAATACAACCTTTTCATTAGTTACCAATCATCTAGTATTTCAAAGTGATTTTGGATGAAACACGCATTTTGCAGAAACACATGCGTGATCATAAATTTGTCATGCATTTAGCACAGGTCTATGCGTGATAATGAATTTATCACAAATTCAGGAGAAAATGTATTTAAAATTAGAAGAAATTGGTTTTATTAAAAAAGTTAAAACGGTCGTACAGTAAACTTGAGTCATTTAGACAGTATTTTCGTGAATACTTATAATTCTTCACTGACATGTTACTAAAAATTTATCAGTATGCCAATACATTTTTTGTTTGTTTAAGTAATAAAATATTTGTGTACATAGTTTGGATGCTCAAATTAAACATAATGTACATTGAAATTCAAATTGTATGTGGCTTTACTAAAAATATATTGGTTTATGTACTGTACCCGGTAATGTCAACAAACATGAAATCGTTTTAAAACAGCTTAAAAATGCTAAAATTGTTGTAGCGTCAAGGCCCTGAACCCATACCAGGCTCTGCCTCTGTCCCCCACCCCCCAGCCAATTGGTGTAGTAACGCATTTGAAATCTCCCAAGTTGGTAACCATGCATACAGTAGAATTATAAAGCTTGCAAATTCGTTTTTTAATACAATGTATGTTTCAAAATAGTCACCTTTTGAAAAATGTTTGTCTATTTATTTATATAATACTTTTTAATTGATGAAATCACATTTTTATTTTACTTGTGTCCATGGATGTTAGGCAGTATTTCAACTTAATTGCTCCTAATAATAAAAAACTTATCAAAAAGTGTCAACAATATTTGTTATGCATGACACCTCTTAAAATCAGATTAACAAAATTGAACTTATGTTTATTGTAATGTAAATGTAATGTGCAGTGCCTTTGATCGTATATTTTAAAATTGGCGCATTGGAAATGTTTGAATATTATTATTGGCTTTTCCTAGCAGTAGTTGGATAAGCCATTGTTTTTGTTGTTTATATTTTTCTTTTTATTTGTTAGATAGAACAATAATGAAATAATAATAAATATAATAATAATAATAATAATAATAATAATAATAATAATAAGAAATATAAATAATAATAAGAATAATAACAATAAAACAATAATACCAAAATAACAATAACAATAAAGATATTAAAGAAAATAATAATAATGAGATAATTATCAAACAAAAAAAATAATAAAAGAATAATAAAAAAAAAAGAAAGAACAACAAATGATAACAAAAAGTCAAATAACAATCAAATAATTAAATAAAGAGAACTAAAAAAAAAAAGAAAAAAAAAAACAATGAAAATAATAATTAAATAAAGAGAACTAAAAAAAAAATTGAAAAAAAAAAAACAATGAAAATTTGAAAGTAATGTCAATGCAGAAACTAAATTGGAAAATCAACGGAAAAAAAGATAAGATTTGAGGTGGGATTTTAAAAAATTGAAAGTCGGAAATCGATCTAGTAGTAGTTGGGAGAGAGTTCCAAAGTTTTGGAGCAAGAAAAGAAATGAGCGTTGGCCGGTTTTGACATGCTTGAAACGAGGAAGCACAAGATAAGGAGCAGCAGATTGACAGGTAGTGCAGGTGGAGTGAGTAAGGGTGATGTTAGAGACAAGATAGTCAGGGACAAAACCGTAAATGCATTTGTGGACAATAATTTTGATTTTATAGGAAGATCTGTATAGAATGGGTAACCAGTGAAGAACTTTAACGATTGGAGTGATGTGAGAATGGACTTTGGTATGAGTAACCATACAAGCAGTAGAGTTGAGTAGTTTTTGAATGGGTTGGATGTGCGAGACAGGCAGGTCATGAAGTAGAGAATTGCAAAATTCCAGTCTGGAAGTTACAAGGAAGTATTTTATAAACTTTAGTGACGACCCACATTCGGTTGTGAATTTCAGGGTCTTTGAAGTTGCTAAGGTCCTATACCTCTAATAACTTTATAAATGGATCTAAATGACTAGCAGCAAACCAGCTGCAGCTAGGTTAAACGCAAACTTACTGTTATATGCATGAACAATTTTAGCTTTCAATCACTGAATTACTATGAGCTATTGTACAAATGCATGTTGGGTCGGCTCATATAGTGCGCAATGGTTATGGTCTCCATATCACCCTCTATATTACCATTGCAGCTATAGTTTGGGTCTTCCAAATGTTGAGTTAGTTTTTCTTTTATTTTTTTTCACTTTGGGCATTAGCAGAAATAGCCGTTGTTTTTGTTCTAATTTATTTTTTACCTTCTATCCCATCTTCTCCCATGTTTTTTCTGACCGTCACTTTCAGTGCTGAACCTTCTTCAAACATCATCAAGGATGTGCATATCAAAATATGATGTGATTCTACATATTCTGGATGTTAATAGCAGTTATTGTTCGAGTTTCCCTGACGCTGAGTTGGTTTTCAAGTGTTTTAACTTCATAATTCTCCACTTAATTTTCGGTGTGTTATTTTGCGTTAGACTTCTTAAATGAGACTTTTTTGTAATTTCAGCATCACTTTTTCATTATGGCAATGAGAAAAAGCCCTATGTTTCTGTTTTACAAACAGACATAGTAAGTCTAGTTACTAATTTTTCTATTATAAAAAATAGGCTCCCAGCGGGAGCGTGTGTCAATGCCTTATACAGGAGTTTTTGTTTTAAATTTATCATATGTCCATCAATATGCAGGTGTGTGTATTATTGTATCTGAATTTTTCATGAAAATTTTCTTTCATAAAAATATTCTGTATAGGCCTACTACTATATTACACTAAAAACACTTTCAAAAATTAGTAACTCTTGGAGTTACCCACGTGTCGTTGATCACAAAGAGAACTACCATGTTTTAGAGGGCGTCCTTCAAATGACAGTAAAAGGCATTCGTGGCGAACGCGTGCTGCGTCTCTATAAAGCCGGTTTTCCACTAGGCGAATTTATTTTCGCAAATCGAAAGCGTCGTTCTTGCTCATGTGCATTTATATTTCTATCTGAGCAATTTTGTTCGAGTTCCGAATGTTATTCGATTGTCAATAGAGCGCACCCTACCTCGTAGTAGTAGTACCAATCATGCCTAAACCGAATTTACCCTTTTCCGCCATCTTTAATTGCTACATCATGACACAGTGTCTACGCCCCCGTTGGGGGCAGTAGACACAAAAACTTGGTCTTTTAATCAATAATAACACAGCTGGATTATTTTTTCACTTTTATTAGAACCAACAGAGATAATAATAATGATAAATAATACCTCAGTGACATTTCTGGTCCAATCAGGAACCTTTCCTCAGACTGATTACATGTTGGGATTGGTCTTATCCCGGCGTTGATGTTTAGTTACGCCCTCTAACGTCCAGTGTTTGACGGTAGCACGTCGTGCTACCGTCAAACACCGGTTTGGCGGGATAAAAAAATCCAGCTATGTTTTACAGAACCAGATGAAACACTTCAATGAAATAATAACACACTTTTGTATAAAAGGATTTCTTTTTAAGACTACTTTAATATAAAATTAGATAAACTTACTTGCTCTCCAAAATCTATGTGTGTTATGATAGTTCTAAACAAGTCAACCAGCCATTGTGGATCCAAAATGATATTTTCTTTTAAAAGGTTTCCGTCTGGATCTTCCTCTCTCCCAAAATAAACAACCTCTCCGATATCTTGAAAGAAGTTCAAAACAATGTGGATACTTCCCTTGATTTTGCATTCCTCAGCCAAAGCCTTCACCTTAAAAAATATTGTTATATTTATTATATTTATACAGTCGATATTTCATAGCTTAACAATTATCAACATAATTCATTCATTTCATCTTTATGTTTTAATTTTATATCCATATAGAAAGAAAAAAACATTCAATTAATAATTTAGGGGGAAAAATATATATATATATATATATATTATTTCATAATTTGACTTTATTGTCGAAGAGCGTTTTCTCTTACAAGAATACCAGCGGTTAATACATTTTAAATATTATATTAGTATTATTGTGAGACACCAGCTTTTCTGTGTTAGTAATTCTGTTTTATAAATTGCATAAACATAGTGACTGCCACAAAATAGTGCACATGGTCCGATGCCTAACTACTGCTTCTAGTTGGTCGCAATTGAATTAAGTTCAAAACCACTACACATGGGTCTTGAATAATTTAAAGCCAGTTATTTTGTTTTGATTAATTAATGCCAACAAAATTTTATTTTTTCCTATGAGGACAAGATTATTGCATGCTAAAGTGTACGTTTCACAATTTTTAAAACCACATTGAAGTTGTTTCAAGCAAATAATTATTTTGGGTGAAATAAACTGAGATAGTCATAATTTATTGGGACATCGTAATAGCATAATCAGGGGTCAAAAATCATAATCATTACCCCAAAATTGTGATAGTTGGAATCTCTAATAGTCTTTTTATTTGATATTCATTTGACAATACATCAGTTATTGACAAAAGCACTAAACCACGGGTGGGCATTAAAATTTGTAGGACGGCATATGTGAATTTTTGATTCAAATCCGTGGGCCGCACCCAAACTTTGATGATTCAGTGCACTTCAAAAAACCTTCATACACTGTTTTATTGCCACTTTATGCTCAGTTTTACTACTACTGTTTACAGGTGATCGGTGCCGGGCCGCAAAAAAAACAAGGTGTTTTCTAGCCCTAGATGGTTGGCAGGCGACACACATAGAGTTTGCTATTCATTTTCGCGGGCCGCAAAAAACCACCGGCGGTCCGCACTTTGCCCACCTGTGCACTAAACTATAATGACACAATAAAATTTTATCCACCTCTTCTAGCTTAAGACAGTGCTTTCCTTCATTTCGCTTCTCCTCTAGATCTGCAAGCAATTTCAGCCAGGTTACTGGGGTAAGAAAATCCATGTAGGGCTCAGCAAGGCAAACCTCTTCCAAGTGACTTCTAAGTTCTGAAATTCCACTGTCTTCATCTAAACTGTTTTCAACGGCAAACAGTTTTGTAACAACATGACGTTGATAAGGAGTATTTTTCAATGACAAAAATATCTTCTCCTCAATCTGTTTAAGCTAAAACAAGTGGAAAATATACTAAAGATTAAGCTACTGTGTCATTCCAGTTAAAATCAACAAGGATTTTCAAAGCTCCCCTGCAATTGCACCCCCTTTGGTTTTCCCTTAAAAAAATCTAAAATACTATGATACTGTATGTCAAAAGAAAGAATCCAAAATTTCAGCATTAATTTCAAAGCTGTTGTGCATTTATATTTCTATCTGAGCAATTTTGTTCGAGTTCCGAATGTTATTCGATTGTCAATAGAGCGCAACCTACCTCGTGGTAGTAGTACCAATCATGCCTAAACCGAATTTACCTTTTCCGCCATCTTTAATTGCTACATCATGACACAGTGTCTACGCCCCCGTTGGGGGCAGTAGACACAAAAACTTGGTCTTTTAATCAATAATAACACAGCTGGATTATTTTTTCACTTTTATTAGAACCAACAGAGATAATAATAATGATAAATAATACCTCAGTAACGTTTCTGGTCCAATCAGGAACCTTTCCTCAGACTGATTACATGTTGGGATTGGTCTTATCCCGGCGTTGATGTTTAGTTACGCCCTCTAACGTCCGGTGTTTGACGGTAGCACGTCGTGCTACCGTCAAACACCGGTTTGGCGGGGAAAAAAATCCAGCTATATTTTACAGATCTAGATGAAACACTTCAATGAAATAATAACACACTTTAGTATAAAAGGATTTCTTTAATATAAATAAGACTACTTTAATATAAAATTAGATAAACTTACTTGCTCTCCAAAATCTATGTGTGTTATGATAGTTCTAAACAAGTCAACCAGCCATTGTGGATCTAGAATGATATTTTCTTTCAAAAGGTTTCCGTCAGAATCTTCCTCTCTCCCAAAATAAACAACCTCTCCGATATCTTGAAAGAAGTTCAAAACAATGTGGATACTTCCCTTGATTTTGCATTCCTCAGCCAAAGCCTTCACCTTAAAAAATATTGTTATAATTTATTATATTTATACAGTCGATATTTCATAGCTTAACAATTATCAACAGAATTCATTCATTTCATCTTTATGTTTTAATTTTATATCCATATAGAAAGAAAAAAACATTCAATTAATAATTTAGGGGGAAAAAAATATATATTTATATATATATTATTTCATAATTTGACTTTATAGTCGATGAGCGTTTTCTCTCAAAAGAATACCAGCACTTAATACATTTTAAATATTATATTAGCATTATTGTGAGACACCAGCTTTTCTGTGTTAGTAATTCTGTTTCATAAATTGCATACACATAGTGACTGCCACAAAATAGTGCACATGGTCCGATGCCTAACTAATGCTCCTAGTTTGTCGCAATTGAATTAAGTTCAAAACCACTACACACAAGATTTTTAATAATTTAAAGTTTTGATTAACTTATGCCAACAAAATTTTATTTTTTTCTATGAGGACAAGATTAGTGCATGCTAAAGTGTATTTTTCACAATTTCGTAAATCAGGTTGAAGTTGTTTCAGCAAGCAAATAATTATTTTGGGCGAAATAAACTGAGATAGTCATAATTTATTGGGACATCGTAATAGCATAATCAGAGGACAAAAATCATAATCATTACCCAAAAATTGCGATAGTTGGCATCTCTAATAGTCTCTTTATTTGATATTCATTTGTTAATATATCAGTTATTGACAAAAGCACTAAACCAGGGGTGGGCATTAAAATTGGTAGGACGGCATATGTGAATTTTTGATTCAAGTCCGTGGGCTGCACCCAAACTTTGATGATTCAGTGCACTTCCAAAAACCTTCATACACTGTTTTATTTATGCTCAGTTTTATTACTACTGTTTACAGGTGATCGGTGCCGGGCCGCAAAAAAGCAAGGTGTTTTCTAGCCCTAGATGGTTGGCAGACGACACACAGAGTTTGCAATTTCTTTTCGCGGGCCGCAAAAAGATCACCGACGGTCCGCACTTTGCCCACCTGTGCACTAAACTATAATGACACAATAAAATTTTATCCACCTCTTCTAGCTTAAGACAGTGCTTTCCTTCATTTCGCTTCTCCTCTAGATCTGCAAGCAATTTCAGCCAGGTTACTGGGGTAAGAAAATCCATGTAGGGCTCAGCAAGGCAAACCTCTTCCAAGTGACTTCTAAGCTCTGAAATTCCATTGTCTTCATCTAAGCTGTTTTCAACGGCAAACAGTTTTCTAACAACATGATGTTCATAAGGAGTATCTTTCAATGACGAAAATATCTTCTCCTCAATCTCTTTAAGCTAGAACAAGTAGAAAATATACTAAAGATTAAGCTACTGGGTCATTCCAGTTAAAATCAACAAGGATTTTCAAAGCTCCCCTGCGACTGCACCACCTTTGGTTTTCCTTTCAAAAAATCTAAAATACTATGATGTTGTATGTCAAAAGAAAGAATCCAACATTTCAGCATTAATTTCAAAGCAGTGTTTAAGTTATGACCTTTTGATATTCTTATCTGAAATAGGGTCGGCGAAATCAACCAATTTTCATTGTAGGCTTTTAATCAACAAATCTCACTCATTTTCCAATTAGAATTAAAGCAATTTGTTGTTTTGGTATTTTTGCAATAACCTATGTTAATTCAAGTACTTCTTTTATTTCTTGGTTTTTCCACACATCTTTGAAAATCCAACAACAAAGTTAGGTATGACAGAGACAAATTCAAATCAAATCAAACATCTTTGACAATCTCACAAAAAATTTAGACATTACAGAGAATTGCAGATATTATTTGACATTCAGTTCTTGTAAAGTCCTTTTTTCACTTGCTTGGATTGGATTGGATTTATTCCGTGTAAACACCAAGGATAGCCCACTAAAGTCTAGAAGAAGATTTATTTCCAGTGGGTCCTTCTGCTCGTGGTTGGGCAGTGCACCTGGAGACATTCCCCTACTCTTTTCCGAAGGGTGTAGAGTGTTCTTTAACGTGCACATGGGCCATAAACAACCACGAGACCAACGGCTTAAATGTCTGATCTGAAAGACGGTGCACTATTGTAACTTGTATTTCAGCCCTCCAGCTGAAACACAAGGAAAGTCAGCAATGGGAATTAAACCAGGGATGTACAAACAGTGGCTACCACTAGATTAGACGACTGAGCTAAGCTGCTCTCAAACTTGGTAGCGTTCTACTCCTTAATAATGAGTAGAGCTACCTCTTATATTTTTTTAAATGAACGATTTATTTCATTGTATATATTTCTGTGTTTTATATTTTTAATGTCATGTTTTTATGATGCTTGTAATGTCGAGATGAATTGCCCAATGTGGGATTATTAAAGATTGATTGATTGATTGATTGATTTTTTTAAAGACAGCCTTACCCGTGATTTCAAATATTCATGTGTTCTCCCAGTCAGTGGCAGCTCTAGGATAAATTTTCTGGGGGGGCTAAGTTGTCCAACAGGGGGGACTTGAGCTCGTAGGCTCGAGCTGGAAGAAGGGGTTGAGAGGTGGTTCCCCTCCCAAATGAGATTTTTTTAAAGAATATCAACCTCTGGATGGCCGGAAATGGCACTCTCAGACTGTGACAGACATGTGTTGGCTTGGTGTGGCCCTATTTTTATATGTTTTATGGTCTGACTGCCTGATGAGCTCTGTCCGGCAGGGGGGCTTGACCTGTCCGGTGTCGGGGGGGGGGGTTTCATGATGTTTTTACACCTACGTTGGTTAATACAGCACTAACGTTTTGCCTGCCACTTGAGTGTGGCCTCAGGTGTGACCACTAACATAATCCAAACACTGAAAATGATCTATCAATAATGTATTAGTTTTAATTGTCAAACTATATTGTTAATAGAAATGTATTTAAAATGTAATTTTTACATTAAAATAAATCATTCATATCCAACATCAAGAAACTCACCCAATGCAAGATGGGACGATGCTTTATAAAAACCAAATGTCTTATCTTAGGCAGTGGGGTGGATCTGTCATGAGAAAAAACCCTGCTGTCACAAGAATTGAACACAAAACCCAAGGATCTGGAGGCTAGCATCCTACCAAAATGCCCCTCAATTTCACTGAATTTCAGCAGTTTATTCATAATTTAAACAACCAACCTACCTTCTGTTCTCTTCTTGTTTTGTTTCCAGATAATTCATTCATGTGTGTTCCAACAATGAATATAGGTGGTGACAGTTGCTGTTGACCTGCTGCTTGTCCACTTACTTTTCCATTTGCATGTATTGACTTCAGCCAAAAATGAAGCCGTTCAAGATTTGTCTCGTTAAGCTTTACTTTGTTTAATGGCTTTATTTTCATCTTCACCCAATTTAATAGAGTCTAATTCAGTCAAAAAATAACAGAAAAAATGTTTAAAACTGGCTGGGTTACTTAATTTTTTAAATTTAACTAAAAATTATTATTTATTTTAGAAAATGAAAAACGAAAAAAATTATACTCTGAGACAACTACAGTTGTAAAATTGGCTCTGTTCAAACTTTCTATTAGTATTAGTATCATCCATGTTCAAAATTTTAATGAAGTATATTATATTAAAATGTAATTACTTTACCTGATCACTGTATTGGATATGCTCATGTTTGAGGTTTGAGTCCAAGTCATCCAAAAGATTGAATGCAAGAATATAAACAGCTTTTGATGCCAAAAACACCTGAAAATGTATCAAATGAAGAAACAATAAATCATTATAAGAAATATAAATGCTTTTTAATTATTATAACGACAAAAAATGTTTAATTAATTTAAAATTATCAATGATTTTTTTTGTAATTCATATAGAGTTTTTTATTTTATCATTTTAACAACACCTGTAAGTGGGAACATTGGTCTTATTGGACTGTTGAAATAAATAAATATATAAATAAATAATAAACAATAGTAATATTAATTTTAAAATCCAAATAGCTATTAAAGTTGACTTTGTGAGCACTTATTTGGATGAAGCAGAGGCCAGTTTTGTTTTTGGAACTCACCTGGAAAGCAACGGATATATTCGATCAAAGAACATCAAAATGTATTATGTAAATCACTGCCTTTTTCATCCAGATAAATATTTCACTCATACAATACCACCATCATTGCTGGTTTGTATAAATTAGTGTATATTTTCTGATCTCCTTTTATGCTCTGATGTATTGTATTAATGTATTGAATTATAATTCATAATTTATAATTATGATTTATAATTATGTATTAATGTACTGAATTATTTCTAGAAATTGATAATGGAACACTGAAACAAAAATACAGTTAGTTTATCACAAATGGAATATTGTTTCTTGATTAAAGAATTTTAAAAAATTTAAATATTTAAATATTTACTCATAAAATACCACCATCATTGCTGAATTGTATAAATTAGTGTATATTTTCTGATCTCCTTTTATGCTCTGATGTACAGTATTATATTAATGTATTGAATTATAATTCATAATTTATAATTATAATTTATAATTATAATTTATAATTATGAATTAATTTATTGAATTATTTCTAGAATTATGGGACACTGAAACAAAAATAGTTAGTTTATCCCAAATGGAATATTGTTTCTTGATTAAAGACTTAAATATTTAATGCATTCCTGTAGTTTAGCATTTTTTTAAAATTAATCATTGTAATTGTTTATTTTGTGACACCTCCGATACTTATTGCAAACGAACCTGCCATCAGGACTTGTTTGTCTCAAACTGGCAGTGAGATCAGCTATCTGCCTAATTGTAAAGTCATTAAATACCTGATGTGTTGAAGCATAAACCTGCTGGCCTGCAAAATCGTATATCTTTACAGATAGCTCATTCTCTTTGCCGGGTTTTTTCGTGGATGTATACTCAAGTACCCTTTCACCGAGGTCCTCTGGAAGTGCTAGCTCTCTATTCATCTTGTCTATTTCCTTCTTCTGGTCTTCCTCTTGTGTTCTTAAACTCGTTGACATTTTAACATGTTCCTTTCTGTGGTGTACATCTTCAATTTCTTGTACATCTTCAAATTGTTCAGACAAATCTTTATCAAATATAAAAGCATTTTTAAAAATTAATATCTGAGTCATTGGTAATTGATGTTTGGTGAGCAGCTAAAGCTCTGTCCACCAACTATCAGATTTTGTTTGACAAAAATCTGTCGTATGCCCATATATAGTCATGATGTGCCTATAAATGGTCATGATGTGATGTCATCATGACCATAATCTACATCACTTTAATGATTTTCATAGACAGATACATTTTACATTCAAATCATTTGGAAACAGTGACATAGTACATTTTCTGGATTTACAATTTGACAACAGTGTAGGAAGCACGAGTATATATTGTAAAAATACACATGCAGGTAAATATGCCAATTATGATAGCTTTGCTCCATGGAAACATAAGATTTCCTGGATTCATATTTAATTAGTTTCTAGAGCCCACAGACAGATACATTTTACATTCAAATCATTTTGAAACAGTGACATAGTACATTTTCTGGATTTACAATTTGACAACAGCGTAGGAAGCATGAGTATGTATCGTAAAAATACAAATGCAGGTAAATATGCCAATTATGATAGCTTTGCTCCATGGAAACATAAGATCTCCTGGATTCATATTTAGTTTCTAGAGCCCACAGATTGTGTACTCCTGATAAACTTCAAGCAGAGCTTTGTAACATTAGAAAATTTATGAGATTGCCTTATTCAGGAAAACCAGGGAAGTTCATTTTATGTAGATGTTTAAATAAAGTAAAGAAACATTTAATTATAGAGGTAAAATTCATAACTTTATGGTAGTGTAAAAATGCTTCTCATTTTATATCTACTAAATATCAAACCCCTAAGGAGTATAGAAGTTCTGTTGCCTATCATTTTAAATGTCCAGGTTGTAATAGTGATTATATTGGTAAGACAGATAGATGATTACTAACTAGACTTAAAGAAAATTCTTCACGATTTGATAGTGATATATTTGATCATGTAAAACACGGTGAGGTATTCCAATATGTTTTAGGCCATGTATACTTGTAAATGATGATGTGGTCTGTAATGTAAGTAATAAATTAGGTTTAATATATTCTAGTACTAACATTATTGACAGCTGTTCTCGAAACTGGTGGAAGGGCATGAGTGTCGGTGCTTTATATATGAGTAGCAGTTATACATCAGCTGCACTTTACAGGGGTGGCACTAGCGGGGAGGCTGGGGGCCCCGTCGGGGAGAAACACCACAATTCGTCGGGGAGAAAAAAAAATGTACATGTATTTTCTGCATATTAGTAGACCCCAAAAACAATTATATAAGCCTTTGAAACCCCTAAATTTTCATATTTTTGGAGAGATTTTTAAGCCCGCCCACACCTTGGTGTGAGGGGGGGGGGACCTTGGACCCCACGTCAGGTAAATATGGCAGCACCACCACTAGGCACTTATACAACAGTGGCGCCTTCAGGAATGTAAACGCGCTGCTACTCCGCAAGAAGGGAATAGCCGACTGCCTTGTTCAGCAATATGAACATGTGCCATGGTTTAACCATTTTTAAAACATAATAATATATATAATAATACAAACATGTATTAAAGTCATATAGCCTACACAGTAAAACACAATGCCGTTGCATACGTTGTTCTACGTGCGATATCACGTGGCATCACGTGATCGCCACAACGAACTTCTTCAACTGCGGCTGATCCAAGTCAGTGTTTACATGCTGTATTGTGCGGGCTGTGCAGGCACGTGGGAA